GCGTCTCCCCCCGCCGCTCGGTCGGCGCAGTCGGGTGACGTGGCACCCGGCGGGGGCCGGGAGCAGCTGAGGCGTCAGGCGCGTTGCTGCGGCAACACGAAACCGGGTGAACGCGAAGGGCGGAGCTTCCGGGGGCAACCGGGGTCATGGCCCCGGCGCAGCTTTTTAAATGGCTCCGGCGCTTGGGAAGGGGAAGAGGGAGGAGGCCTCCTCTGCAGAGACAGGCGACCGGGAAGGTGGTTTGTGGACCAAGCTACTCTGTGCCGGTGACTGATCCCTCATCCAGCTCACGGGTTTGCGATAAGGAAACCGCTCGGAGCCTCGGGTGCAGGGTAACGCCGACGGGGGCGGGGAAGGAAGCGGCCCAGGGCAGAGCCTGGATTGGCTGGTGGGCTGGCGCGTTACGGTTCCGAACCCCATCAGCCGGGCCGGGTCTCATTCGATCAGAGAACTTAGGGCCCTGGGCTGGGGCCCGTGAGTGGGGGTGGGCCCGGGCCCCCCTTCCCCTCCCTTCGCACCAGGGAGTCGGAAACCGAAGAAGGGTGCAACCGAAAGGCAAAGCAAGGACTTATTTACTTATCGGTGGGAGGGGCGCACAGGAGGCGTCACACTAAGCAATAGCTTATTTTGAGGTCATTTTGAAATGAGGCACTGTTCCAAAATGTCCCTGACCCCTCGTGCAATGAAGTTTACAGGGATGTTGGAATAGTGAGCCCGTTCTGTTTTGAAATAACGGGCATGCTCAAAAGATGCGGGATAGCTCCACAGTGTAGACGTACCCTAACAGATTCATTTGGACATAAGTTTTCCTGGGCAAAAACCCATTTCAGACACGGGGTGTTTTGCCCACCAATGCTTATGCCCAAATAAATCTGTTAGTCTTTAAAGTGCCACAGGACTCCTCATTCTTTTTAACAGTTCATGCTTGGTCCGTCTTCTGAAATCCATGTGACACTGACCTTGCCAGCTCCTCCTCTCTCCAGGAACTATTGGTTTTCCTCCCTTTGCAGCATTCACAGATGACTCCAGCGTTCTCAGTGAGCTTTGTTCCACCGTCGGCCGCCTGTCTGTCCGGAACGAGTTCTGTCAAGAGATTGTGGACCTTGGAGGCTTGAATTTCATGGTTGCCCTGTTGGCTGACTGCATCGATCAACAGGTACTGTCCTCTTCCGTGAATCAGATGCCTTCTGGGAAGAGAGGGTATTTATGGGCAGGTATTGGGCATAATGTTGCCTCATGTGGTTTGAGCATTGGCCTCCTAAACCCAGGGTTGTGAGTTCAATCCTTGAGGGGGGCCATTTAGGGATTGGTGTCAAATCTGTCTGGGATAGTATTTGATCCTGCTGTAAGAGCAGGGAACTGGACTCGATGACCTCTCAAGGTCCCTTCCAGCTCTATGAGATGGTATATCTCCATGTATTTATTTATTTATATGTAACATGGTGCTTTTCATCTTCAGCGCACTTTGCAATCATGAATGAGCATTAGGCTTTGGTGACCTCCAAGGATGTTAAATATCGGTTAATGGAATGGTCAGTTAACCTCCTGAATTCTTATTGGTTACTTGACTATTCTATAGTACCTGGAGGTGGGGGCAGCAGCAGCCAGTGCGCTCCGGTTCCGCTCCCGAGGAGCTCTCTGCCCCTCTGCGCTGCTGCCTCTGTAGCCGAGGCAGCAGTGTGGGGTGCCAGGCTGGAGCTGGTCTGCAAGGGGAGACAGTTTAAAAACCAGCTCCCCTCATGGACCGTCTGCCTGTTGCCCTGTGCTGCTGTGTCTGATACAGAGACAGCAGCGCAGGGTGGCAGAGCCCCGGTCCGGCGTGGGGGTCTGAGCTCCCGGACCTGACATAAGCCAGAACTGAGCCGAGCTGCCTGGCTCTGAATATGCTTTAAATGCAGAGCTGCTGCAGGGTTAGGTCCTGGTCCTGGCGCGAGCCGGGATGCTGACCAGCCTGCTAAAAATTTACTGGGGGGGCGGAGGAAGGAACGCATGTAGTCTATAGCATTAACCTATAAGCTTTTGCTTATTGGTTAATTGACTACACTGTTATATCCCTAGTGACCTCTACCTTGGGCTCTTGCCTCGTGGATGATGCTGCTGATGCCCCCGTACCACTTTCTGCAATACATTGACAGACAACCCCAGTTGGAGATTGAACCAGAACCCAGCAACCCTGCTCTAGCTTCTGTTCTACCCCCCTTCCTCTCCCTCCTCCCAGTCCAGATGCAGGAATAGAACCTTCCTAATTCTCAGGAAAGTTGGGTCATTGAGCCTCTACATGCTGTCTGTGGTTTTTCTAAGGAGTTAGGTGCCCAAATCCCATTGAATATTTATGGATTGGGGTGTTTAATCCTCTGAAATGTCTTTGAAAGTTGCAGCTACTCTGACCAGGGTAACTTGGATGTTCTTCCTGGGCTCAGTGGAAAACGGCATCGGAGGTGTGAGGGGCTGGGAGTTCTTAGGTAAATGTTGCTGTTCAGGTAGAGTCTGTGCCCCCAGTGATCCTGGCAGGGTTCTAAGTTCAAGTCTCAGGGCAGGGCAAGAGGTGGGAGATGCTACCTTTCTGGCTGAGCTGCTGGGAACCATTTTGCCTGGTTTCCGTGGGATCTGATGGGTTTTGTTCCTCTCTCCGTGTCTTTGTCATTGAGTGCAGGAGCTGGTGAAGCAGGTGCTGAGCGCCATATGGGCTATCGCAGGCAACGACGACGTGAAAGACGCCATCGTCAACGCTGGAGGAACGGACCTGATTGTGCTGGCGATGAGCCACCATCTTGCCAGCCCTCAGGTATACAAGAGCTGTGCTTTGGAGTTGTCTACTGCGTTGGGTGGACAGGTTTTGGAGCCACTAATCAGTACTGAGAACAGCATCACAGTGCCCTTGCTTGCATTACCTCCCCAGTTAGTGTAACTGCTTCTGACTTAGAACAATGCCCAGCATGGACTAACAAGGCACGCGTTAACCCTTGAATGCTGGTAAAATGTGGGCTTTGGCAAGTGTTTGTAGGTATCCAATCAGGTAACTGCTTCCTACTATACTATACCAGGTGGCCCCAGAGATTGGAAACCAGATTCTGAACTTAACACACTTAGGTCAACAGTTCAAATCCAGCTACATTCTCCTCTGATATCTGGTAGCCTCTGTGTCAAAGGACTTGACGGGACCCAGGCTCGTTGCTGCCTGGCAAATGTTACCATCCAAACCTCGCCTGTCTTACTCCAGTTGCCCCTTTTCTTGACAAAGCTGAGGTCTCCGTGGACAGCAGAGCTTGGCTGATAGAACAGAAGAGGTTGGCACCACCACCTGTTGGCTTGAGGTGGTGTCAGAAGGAGATGTTGGCCTGGCTGCTGGCTACACTGTACCTGTTCTGTGCTAGACAAAGGCTGCGTTCTTTAGGCCCACCAAACTGATGTCTCGCAGCAGCACCGGACTGTGCAAATCCCCTGGGAGTTTGGGGGCTGGCTTAGTGGGACACCAGCCTCCTTACTCCCAGAGGGAATGAATTTGGAGGTAGTGGCGGCGTCAGGGGTTTGCTCGCTCTCTTTTCTGGCTGCAGTCGGTTCAGCCGATGAGTCCTCTCTTCCTCTTGGTCCCGCAGATCTGCGAGCAGGCCTGTGCCGCCCTGTGTATGCTGGCCTTGCGCAAGCCAGAGAACTGTAAGGTCATCATGGAAGGCGGAGGGGCCCTGACGGCTCTTCAAGCCATGAAGGTGCATCCCAAAGAAGTGGCCGTGCAGGTACCTGGCTCGAAGCGCTTTATCACCGATTCAGCCACAGGGTTCGCTGCCTCCCTGGGATTCTTTATCTTTCCCCCAGGGTCTGTGTGGCACTTGCAGCTGCGCGGTGAAGATAACGAAGGGGCTGAGGGTGGAGCAGCGTTCTGTAATTCTGTCCGAGCTCTTGGCTGATGGGTTCGTACCGGAAATTGTCCTTCAATTCCGTTCGGTCCCAGAGGCCTTGCTCTGCAGTTTGCTGGCACTGGCACCTCTTCCTGCCTGTGTAAACGCAGCCCTGAGCCCAGCCTCTAGCGGGTCATAATGGGCTCAACAGGGGCCTTGTGCCCTTCCAGTGTCATAGGCTCTTGGTGACATTTAAAGAAAAAGTGGCTGGGTCCGTGGAGGGAGGATGGGGTTATGTTCCAGGGTGTGCCAACGATGCTCGTATTTGTCACAGGAAAGGCCGGCTGCCGGTCCCCCAAGACCTTTTCAGAGGAAAAAATAAGCCCCGCCTCCTTCCCTAAGTCCTTCTCTCTGCTTTGCAGCTTTTCTAAAGATTGTTCATCGTTTAAAAGCTTGTTGCGTTGGAGCATGTTCAACCCTGATAAGAAGGGCCAGGGTGGGTCACCCCAATGGTTCCTCCAGCCCAGTACCCTGCTTCTGAGAGAGGCCAGCCCCAGAGTCTCGGGGAATTTACACAACAGGGCAGTTTGGAGAGCGGCACCACCTGCCTTCTCCTCCCCGACTGGCCATCAGAGGTTTGGCGACACCCAGAGCAAACCTAGTTACAGTTTTGTGTGCTGGAAGTATCCTCAGCACTTGATGAATTGAGGGACCAGAGCTGAAGCCTGTTATGCCTTGATGAATTGAGGGACCAGAGCTGAAGCCTCTTATGCCATTATCAGTGGGAAATAGGTCAATGGAGGGATGATAGGAGTTACTGTAGAGAACTTTCTGGGTGTCTGGCTGGTGAGTCTTGCCCACATGCTCAGGGTTTAGCTGATCGCCATATTTGGGGTCGGGAAGGGATTTTCCTCCAGGGTAGATTGGCAGAGACCCTGGATTTTTTTCGCCTTCCTCTGTAGCATGGGGCACAGATCACAGCTGGAGGATTCTCTGCATCTTGGGGTCTCCAAAGTATTTGAAGGCTTCAATATCTGAGATATAGGTGAGAGGATTATTCTAGGAGGGGTGGGTGAGATTCTGTGGCCTGCAGTGTGCAGGGGGGCAGACTAGATGATCATAATGGTCCCTTCTGACCTTAAAGTCTATGAATGTTTCCCTCATCTGCTGTCCTCGTCTATGTGGTGATCAATGGGCTTACGTCTCTGGTGATAGGTTGCTCCTGGGTATAAGGCCTACGGCTGGTCTGCTTAGCTCCCCAGACTGCCCTGTGACGGGTTCCAGAGTGGCTGATCTAGAGTTTGGAAGTCACTTTGGGATGGTTGGGTTCTGTGTATTAAGGGAAGGATTTCTTCAAACAGGATTTAACTGTGTCATCAGACCCATGGGCCGTGTGTCCATCTCTTGAGTCTGCCAATGCGGCAATGAAAGTCCTAGGCATGGGGAAGGAAGTAGTCAGGGATAACCCCGGCCAATTGGACAGTTTTCCCACCGACGCAGGTTTTAATTGGTGATCTGAAAGCTACCTACCCAGGATCCAACATGTGCGAAGCACGTTGGAATCCCTCACATAGGAAGGGGGCACTGGACTAAACCCAGCCTTGCTGTGAGTGTGCTCTCTGATTCCCTGCTGGACGCCCTTATGTTCCTCCCCGTACTCGCTGCATGAGGCATTAACCCTTCTCCTGTCCCTCTCTCCTCAGAAACAGGCCTGCATGCTGATCCGGAACCTGGTCTCCCGGAACCAGGACTTCTCTCAGCCTATCCTGGAGATGGGAGCTGAGAACTTGATTGTGGAGGCTCGTGTCGTGCACCGGGATTGTGACGACATCGCCAAAGCTGCCTTGAGAGACCTTGGCTGTAAAGTGGAGCTCCGCGAGCTGTGGACAGGCGAAAAGGGAAGCCTGGCTCCCTAGACCACTGCCCCCTAGTGCCTGGGGGCATCTCTCTGTGTAGCATCGACAGGCAAAAATGGGGCTGCAAATCAGCTGCTCTTAAAGCCAGACCTGAGCAGCAGAAATGAATGCCTGGCGGTTGAAGCTATTGTGGTGGATTGTATAACAGGTAGGCAGCTCAGCTGTTGCAGGGAGGGCTCTGTCTGTGTATACAGGCTGCAGATAGACCGAACTTAGAATGATAATCTCCTCCTCGCTACAGCCTGATGCCTGGGAAATATCTACTTCCCTCTTCCCCTCCACCCCCAAACACACACATGCCCATTGCTGCATGTTACTAGTTTATAGTATGTGCTGTTCCCACGTGTGTCTGTCCATGTTATGATCCAAAGTAGATCTCTTTCTGCAGCAGCTTGGCATCTACCCTTTCCGTCCACCTTGTCCTACCTCCCGACCCCTGCTCTGTGACGCTGTTCTAAATGCTATTTGGGGGAGATGCCCCTGACCTAGCCAATATCATATCCTGTCTTGTTCAGTGCTGTGCTACTGGTGTTCTGTCTCACACTGTTGGCTCTCTCCAGTTCCATCCGCTGCAGCATTCTACACAAATGCAAGGCATTGGCGGAAAACGTCACGGCCCGGTGTCCTGTTCGTAATCTGAGCTTCCAGAAATAAATACGACAGGTTTCAGTTGTGAGCAATCAGCTGTTGTGACAGAAAACTCGGGGGGGGGAGGGGGAGAGCAGGGAAACCATAGGGCAGTGTATCATGAGAGAGAGACCCGTTTTGAACCATTTGCTAGGATCACCAGACATACTCTTGTATTGGAATTCCCCCTCTTGGGGGAGGGAAGATGTTACAAGTTGGAGCAATGAGCACTGGAAGGATAAGTCTGAAATCTCTTGACTTCTCCCTTACCTAGCTGCTCAATAACTCCTCCCCCACCCGCAGAAGGCATTTTTGTGACTGTCACCACTCCTCTTGCACCCCCCCCCAACCTGGTTTCTAGTTCTGCTCTGGCTGTTTGCCTCCACACTCTGTTCCTTGGCCATTTGCTTCACTCTGCAGTGACCGAGTTGACACTTTTGTAGAGACATTCGTCTTCTAAAAAGCGTACGGGGGCGTGGCCCCAGCCGTGCCAGTTGGCGAAGGGGAGAGGGTGGAAAAGGTGACTGGTGCTTGGGGGAATTTTAAATTCGCCAAGTTGGTAAGTAAATGCTGCTGCAGCTGTGTGGTCTGCCGGGAAGGTAGCCACAGAGCTGACCCCTGAGATCCCCCAGGCACTATCTCCATGTGCGGTGTGTGTGTGCACTAAGCTGCCCTTATCCCTTTCTCCGTTGGTTGGTTTGTTTGTTTTTTCTGGTGAAAGCTGCTTCCCTCCATCTCTCTGACTTTCACGGCAATCCCAGTTCAGCAAACCCTGCCAGCAGCACTGGATCATCTCTCCAGGGGGCCGACGGTAACTGGGCTTAACAAAGAGGCCAGAATTCAGTGGTGACCTGGACAGTCTGCATGTGCAAGGGAGAGAGTGTTTCTCTGGTGCTGGCCTGCCCTTTGGAGGGGGGCTGGGACAGGCTGAAAGGCCCAGAGTTGTATCTGAGCACCGCAGGATGAGGCAGGATGGATTAGCCTGGGAGGATGGGGATGGATATGAATTCTCCTGTCTTCCCCAAGTATTGGTGTAAGAATAGCCATACTGGGTCGGAGCAAAGGTCCATCTAGCCCAATATCCTGTCTTCTGACAGTGACCAATGCCAGATGCCCTAGAGGGATGGAACACAACAGGGAAACATCAAGTGATCCTCTGTCACCCGTTCCTAGTCCCTGATAAACAGGGGCCAGTGACACCATTCCTACCCATCCTGGCAAATAAGTATTGATGGACCTAACCTCCATTAATTTATAGTTCTTTCTTGAACCCTGTTAAAGTCCTGGTCTTTACCATATCCTCTGGCAAGGAGTTCCACAGGTTGGCTGTGTGAAGAAAAACTTCCTTTGGTTTGTTTTAAACCTGCTGCCTATTAATTTCATTTGGTGACCCCTAGTTCTTATATTGTGGTAAACAGTAAATAATGTTTCCTTATTTGCTTTCTCCATACCTGTGATGATTTTATAGATCTCTATCCTATCTCTTCCTTCCCCCCTCCCCCTGGTCTCATTAATCACTCTTCATATGGCACCCATTCAAACCCCTCCTCGTCCTTTTCTGATCCTTTTCCAATGCCAAGAGCTCTATTTGGAGATGCTGTGCTGACTATCTTCTGCAGAGTCACCACAATCTCCCTTTACTGCTGCTGGGGTTTGAGACCCGGAGTAGATCCAGCTGAGGAGCGCTATGCAGGGTTACTGGTGGCCTGGGTTAGCAATAGGGGGATTCCAAATGTGAGGTGCTACTCTCATTCCCATGGGAAAGGTGCCCCACAGTACGTGAGGGCCCTGGATCCAGGGTAGCTTTTCAGGGAGACTACCCAGGCCCCGCAGAGAAGCAGAGGAAACGGGAAGCTGTTACGGAAATAATATATTTTTTAAAAATAACCAGCCCTTGGGGTGTGGCAGTCTGTATTCATCCTCCTGAAGTTCACAGAGGCCAGTTACTGGTTAGGAGGTGGAGGTGAGGTGCTTTAATGGGGGTAAATGCGGTTCCGCCTACGGTAGATCCACCATCTCAGCCTACTGCCTGGCTGCCCCCGGTCTTCCTCCATCCCCCGGCTGCCGCCAGCCTGTGCCTTCGCTGCAGATGACCTCCTGAAGATCTTTCGCACCCAGCTTACCAGGGAGCGCAGGCTGAGCCGGGAGGGGGTGGATCGTGGTGCTTCACGGGCTGGGGTGCTGGAGGTTGAGGGACGAGAGCACGGTGACGGTTTCCTGGACCCTCCTTCCTGGCCACTTCCTGATGCTTCAATCTACAAGTGCCAATGAAAGGAAGGAGTTGGTAGGAAGCAGCCTCCTCTAGCCCATCCTGCATGTGAGCCAGGCTGTGCCCTTGGCAGTAGGGTTTGAGTTAACACATGGGACCATTATGCTATTCCTTAGCTGTAGCCACCCTCTACTAGTACCTGATGGAAGAGCACCTAGCACCCCAATGGCTTTGGGCTGCTCACAGGCACCAGCAGGGGAGGGGACACGCTCTTGCATTTCTCTGCACTCTTCCTTGCTCCTAGGGAAACTGAGATGCTGTAGTTCCCTTAATTTACTGCCAACGGCTCTTCTAGACAGGGGTCCTTTTTATTTTACTACTTTATTTGCCGAAGAATCAGTTTTCTTCTGATCCTCTGTCGCAAATGGGGGAAAGCCCAGAAAGCGGATCTCCGTTTCCTGGTCCATGTCACCTGGCTAGAGCTACCACATGTTAATACCCTGCTACGCAGCAGTTTTGCATCTTTCCAAGGTAGTCAGCTGTCACCAGCTCAGGAGCCTCGGGCCAGGTTGGTACTTGGAGAAGAGCCTTCTAAAAACCAAGTCCTGCAAAACTCGAGCGAGTCTTCCCTCGGCAACAGTACCTGGCACTAGGCCAGAAGGCCCCAAACTGTTCATGGAAAAGAATCTGTTTGGACAATCTCCTAATCCCCTAGTTCTCTAACTCTGGGTGGGGATTTGATTTTAATAGGGAGGCTAGAACTGGCATTAGACTTTCCGAGGGTAAATCAAAAGCCTGAGCCTCACTGCTCCAGGCCAAAATCCGAGTCCTGCCTCTCAGGGCTGAAGTCAAAGCCTGTGGGCTGTGTCTAGACTGGCAAGTTTTTCTGCAAAAGCAGCTGCAGAAAAACTTGCCAGTCTAGACACAGCCCGATCTCATGTAAGAAATCAGTGCTGCTTGCGGAAATACTATGCTGCTCCCGTTCAGGCAAAAGTCCTTTTGTGCAAAAGGGCCAGTGTAGACAGCTCAGATTTGTGTTGCGCAAAAAAGCCCCGATCACGAAAATGGCGATCGGGGCTTTCTTGTGCAATACCGCGTCTAGATTGGCACGGACGCTTTTCCGCAAGAAGTGCTTTTGCGGAAAAGCGTCCATGCCAATCTAGACGCTCTTTTCCACAAATGCTTTTAATGGAAAAGTTTTCCATTAAAAGCATTTGCGGAAAATCATGCCAGTCTAGACATAGCCGTGGGCTTCAGCCTTGAGGGGCAGGGGCAGGATACAGGCTCTCCCACCCCCCACATGGGGGTGTAGCCCTTGGGCTCTGTCATTGGTCCCTGCTCCTATGGCCATGTTGTAACTTTGGTTGGCAGAAGGGGGTTGCGGCGCGCTGAAGACTGAGGACTCCACCCCTGGCTGCATCCACTAAAGAAAAGTTTGGAAATCAAAATCTCTCATCCCGACATTTTCAAAAGGACTTTTTGTTTTAGAATTTTACACCTTTCAAAGGTCAAGTTGAAACATTTTTAACTGGCCTGCAGGAGACGGGGTTGGCTGATTTTTTTTTTTTTTTTTTTTTTTTTTTTGACAGATGCAATGATCAAAGTGAAGAGGACAAGAAAGGAAAGCAAGCAATATAAATGATTACAAGGAAGATATTTTATCATCATTATTCCTAGATTGAATCGAGCTAAAATACCGCGTCTAGATTGGCACGGATGCTTTTCCGCAAGAAGTGCTTTTGCGGAAAAGCGTCCGTGCCAATCTAGACGCTCTTTTCCACAAATGCTTTTAACGGAAAAGTTTTCCGTTAAAAGCATTTGCGGAAAATCATGCCAGTCTCGACATAGCTGTGGGCTTCAGCCTTGAGGGGCAGGATACAGGATACATTTTTAACTGGCCTGCAGGAGATGGGGTTGGCTGATTTTTTTTTTTTTTATCCCAATTCAACTTGGGCAGATGTTTTCTTGAAAATGCAAACGTTTGTAGGGGATGGGGAAAACCAGGTCTCACACAGCTGCACTCTTGACACCTTGTGGTTAGGAATGAGATCAGGGTGCTTCTAAAGAAAGTCAGGGTATTAACCCTTCGAATGTTGCCCACGTTCATGGGTTGCTATCTTGGGCCTCGCTCCGTTTTTCTCTCAGTCTTTTGGTTTGAAGTGCTATCTTCTTCACTTCCTCCCCTAAAAATACATCTGCGCTCCCCAGTGGCCGGGCTCCACAAAGGACATGCTGTGATTCTGCTCTTTTATCTACCTTGCAGAGAGATCAGGAAGACTCATTCCTTGCTTTCAAAGCACTCAAAATCAGTGCCGGGGCACTGCTATAGAAATGCAAGGTGGTGGTTATAAGCCCTCACGTTTCCATTGCCTCCAAACGAGTGTCTTAAATCTGGTATCCTAACCAACGACTCCTTGCAGCTCCACTCAAGGAGCATGATTTGCACAGCGAAATTGAACAGGTGGAACCTCTGTGGTCTGGAACTCTCTGATGCCCGACCAGGGATGTTGCCAGACTAGAGAGCCTCCGGGGGCTTGTTGGAAGGGGCTGCCAGGAGCAGAGCTGGTTCTGTGGCTGGGGGCTGGCAGCTCAGAGCCTGATGGGGGGGACAGTGGTCCGGAGCCTGGTTAGGGGGCTGGGTCTCAGGGCAGGGGCCTGGGAGTGGAGTCAGGGGACCAGCAGCTTGGAGTCTGGCTGGGAAGCCAGGAGTGGAGCTGGTCTAGTGGCTGGAGCAAGGAGCCCAGCTCAGGTGGCTGGGGTTGGCAGTGGGGCCAGTGGCTGTGAAGCTGAGCCAGAAGTGGAGCTGGTCTATTGGCTGGAGCAGGGATCCCAGCTCAGGTGGCTGGGGTTGGCAGTGGGGCCAGTGGCTGTGAGGCTGATGGTCCCAAGAAGAGCCCAGAGGTTGGCAGCAGCAGAGCTGGAATTGACCATCCCTGGTCTGGCAAACTGCCTTGTTTGGGTCCCAAGGGTGCCAGACCAGGGAGGTCCAAACGGCACGTTCCTTAAGATCTCATGGGGAGTTGGTGCCAAAGTGGAAATGGAAATCAGAAATTCTGTCTCCTCTTCCTCTGCTCCTGCCAGGAGAGCACTCTCTTTGCATGCTCTCTGGATGGAGAATGGCCAACAATGGGGCAGTAGCCTTCCATCCTGTTCAGAGGAAGGCTGGTTTGGGAGCAGGCTGGCCACTGACAGCATGTGTTCCAGCATTAAAATGAGTCCATACCATAAACTGGAAGCAAAAAGGTATTGGGGGCTAGAAGCATTCATAGTTATTTCTGTATGGTGATACTTGCGGGCCCCAGCATTAATTGGACCCTGGTGTGCTAGGTGCTCTACCACATAGAGATGCTGCCTGCCCCAGAGAGTTCACCCTGTATAAGGTCTTGTCTACACTGGTACATTTTGTTGCCAAAAAACTGCTAACGACAAAACAGCAAGAGAATTTACATGGCAATACAACTTTTGTCAGAAACAACACCCAGATCTGGTGACAAAAACCTTCTAGCCCTGTGAGTTCTACACTGGTACATTTTGTTGCCAAAACACTGCTAATGACAAAACAGCAAGAGCATTTACATGGCAGTACAACTTTTGTCAGAAACAACACCCAAATCAGGTGGCAAAAACCTTCTAGCCCTGTGAGCGATGTTTGTCGTTTCCCCTCCCTTTATTGCCGACAAAGAGCCAGCGTGGTCTCTGCTGTTTGTTGTGGCGAGAGAACTGGCTTCTGCCAGTATCCCACAATGCCTGCCCTGATGGCTGAGTTGAGTGTTTTGTGATCTCTGCTGCCCTGCGGGCCTCCTCCTCCCCCCTCCCCCCCGGTCAAAGCTCCGGGAAGTATCTGACAGTTAAGTGAGCTGCTCCATTTGAGGAATAAAGAACAAATCATTGAAGCACTCCTGTTCTGCCCTGCTAGGGACACAGTGGCAAGCAGGCTGCTGCTGCTCCCAGAGCTACGAGGGAATCCCAAGAAGCGCAGGGATCAGCTCTGCTTTCCCACAGCACTGCGCAGTGGCGTACTCACCCACAATGCTTTGCTCTGTCTGTTGACAGGGCACTAGCAACACCACAATGAAATGTTGACAGTGGGAGGCAGAAAAACTGATTTGACGGGTTTTCACTTTTGCACGTTGACAGCACTTTCATCACCAAACCTTCCCAGGGCAGACGGAGCCTTTCCATGTGAGACAAGGCAAGTGGCTACAGTCGGGCAGAAAGGGGGAACAGAAGGAGACGCTGCAACATGCTAAGCGGTGGCCACTGCACACCAGCTGCTGGGCTGTTGCCCAGTTTTGCACAGGCATCACACCCCAGCTTGAAGGAGGGCAAGGAAGTAGTTTTTGTGGAAATTCAGAGGGAGCAGCTCCCCTGCGTGAAGGGCAGCGGGGGAGGAAACACAAAGGTGCTTGTGTGAAGTCCCATCAACGGGGAACAGAGCAGCTGTCCAGGGCCAGCGGGCACTGCGTCCCGACCTCACACCTACCTCACAGCTCCCCGTCTCCGGGCTGTGCCCACATGGAAAGAGAGCGCCTCTTTTACGCCCTGGGCCCAGCAGTGGGGCGAGCTCTGCCCGGCTGACATCCACATCCTCCTTCCTGCATTGCTTCGGCTGTTTCTTCGGGGGGCTTTTGTTGATGGCGGCAGCAGGGGATAGTGGTGGAGCCTGGCCTTTGCTGGACAGCGGGCTGCTCTGAGGCACCGCCCCCGGCTGCTGTCCTGAGTCTTTCCCCACAGCCCCTGAGGGGGAGTGCCCCTCCACTAGTAATGCAGCCTCCGTTGCGAGGGTCGCCTCAGGCTCCTTTGGGTTTTCACTCACCTCTGGACCACATTCCTGTTGTTTCTCCGACGCAGGCCTTTGCTGACTCGAATCCCCGTCATTTCGGCCTTCAAATTCCTTCCCGGGGGTTGTGAGTCTGTTGCCGTCAGGCAGTGGTCCTTTGCTCGACGCGTTGGGGATGGTCTCACAGGCCAACGCTTCATCTTGGTCTCTGGAGCCCTGCGTGGTGTCGCTGGCTCTGGTGCCAGGGTGCGTCGAGTCCTCCTCTAGCCACCCGCTGCACTGGACGCTGACATCACAGCTGCTTCCTGCTCTGCCTTCGGCATCCCCCGGTGGAGAACCGGCATTGCGGGGCGGCTGGTAGCGCGGGAGCTCGACGTATGTTCGGTAGCAGGGGAAGTAGCCGGTGGAGACAGCAGAGTCGCTCAGGATGGAATCCTCGTCTAAGAGGCAGTAGCTCTCCGAGTCCTCGTGGCTGTTTTCCGGGGGTTCTAGCCTGGAGAACGGAGGGGTGGTTTTACCCTCGAGCTCAAAACTGTGCGAGAACGAACCCAGCTGGAAGGCAGAAACAAGCCAGCTCAGACAACAATATAATCGTCCTCCTCCCACCTCACCAGCTTTTGATGCGATAAGCACCTCCCCTATTGCTCCTTTACATCAGGCCCAATCCAGCCACCTTCCTCCCCCACTATGCACAGCACCACCAGGAAGCTAGGTGGTCAAATTCACCAGTGCTGTGATCAGGAGGCACACCTGTCTTTGTTTTCTGCCCTAAATGGAGGGGTAAGGTGACGCTGGTTGAGCCCAGGGATAGCAGTAAGGTCTCTGTAGGCCCTGGGATCACTGATACATTAGATTATGTATAAATATATAAGGAAGAAATGCCCTATCGCCTCTATGCCTAATATTTAATTGTATGTTATACTTGTATGTTCTTTATTGACTAAAGATAGCAAATTATTGAGTTGGATTTAGCAGTTTTCTTTTCTTACTTTTGAGTCAATTCTGAATTTTTTTTTTTTTAGGCCTGAAACTTTTTCGTAGGCACTGGGCTTATCGTGCCTAATGGATAATCAGGCCTTGATTGGGAGTGATAAACGAAACAATTCCTGTGTGCAGCTTGTAGATCAGCTTGTAGAGCTGTTTGGGATCCTTAGAGATGAAAGGTGCCGCGGTGGATGGGAGGAGTGCTGTCCTTTTGTAAACATCCCACTGCTGCTATCACATAACTCAAATAGTAAAAGGGGAAATTATAGCTATACTACGAAAATGTAAATAGCACCTGTGATGGATGGGAGGAGTGCTGTCCTTTTCTAAACATCCCAGGTCAAGGTTGGGCCCCCACCTTCTGCACTCTAGGGCTATGTCTACACTGGCGGGTTGTTGTGCCAGAAGTATGCAAATGAGGCTAAGCGTGGACTATTGCCGAGCCTCATTTGCATACCTAATGAGCCGCCATTTTTGCGGAAGAGGCTCTTGTGCTACAAGGATCTGTTTACACTGCCCCTTCTTGCGCAAGAAAAACCCTCTTGCGCAATGCCGCTACGCTGATTATGTTCAGGAATAACAGCATTGCGCAAGAGGGTTTTTCTTGCGCAAGAAGGGGCAGTGTAAACAGATCCTTGTAGCACAAGAGCCTCTTCCGCAAAAATGGCGGCTCATTAGGTATGCAAATGAGGCTCGGCAATAGTCCACGCTTAGCCTCATTTGCATACTTCTGGCACAACAACCCGCCAGTGTAGACATAGCCCTAGAGTGCAGAAGGTGGGGGCCCAACCTTGACCTGGGATGTTTAGAAAAGGACAGCACTCCTCCCATCCATCACAGGTGCTATTTACATTTTCGTAGTATAGCTATAATTTCCCCTTTTACTATTTGAGTTATGCTCCTTTTGACTAGGGGAACTTCCTTCACAGCCATCTGATCAGCCTCCCGGGGTTACCTCGCTCATTCTGGACTCCAGCTGCTCCTCGGTATTGCTAGTGAATGGAGTCCAGAGCTCCCGTTGCACTCCATCACCCGAAACGTCCTTTATTGTCAGCCCTGAACATCCGTCTTCCATGATGTTGCCTGGGACATCTTGGTGTGGCTCCCCTTCCTCCTCCTCTTCCTCTTCCTCGCCCATCTCCTGGAGCTGTAGAACAGAAATATATGGGAGGATCAGAATCCCCATTTTGTATTCCGTTCACCTGCCAGCATGCTTCACCCCCCGCATCAAAGGAAAGGCAAACATATACAACAATAACTCCTAGATCATGGCTCTCAATTTCAGGGCCTAGTGTGTGTCATGCTGTGTAGGCCATGTTGGCAGCCTGCACATGGTGGTGGGCAGCCTGTACCATGGTGGCAGCGGTGGGATGTTTAGAAAAGGACAGCACTCCTCGCATCCATCGCGGCACCTTTCATCTCTAAGGATCTCAAACAGCTATTCAAGTTGATCTACAAGTTACAAACAGGAATTGTTTTGCTTATTACTCCCAATCGGAGACAGTGAGACTTCCTGGCTGCACAACAGGGAGACATAACAAGGCTTTGAGATCATAGAATTATAGAACCATAGAGCTGGAAGAGACCTCAGAAGGTCATCAAGTCCAGCCCCCTGCTCTAGGCAGGACCAATCCCAACGAAATCAAACCGGCCAGGGCTTTGTCAAGCCGAGACTTAAACACCTCTAGGGATGGAGACTCCACTACTTCCCTAGGGAACCCATCCCAGTGCTTCACCACCCTCCTAGTGAAATAGTTTTTCCTAATATCCAACCTGGACCTCTCCCACCACAACTTGAGACCATTGCTCCTTGTTCTGCCATCTGTCACTACTGAGAACAGCCTTTCTCCATCCTCTTTGGAACCTCCCTTCAGGAAGTTGAAGGCTGCTATCAAATCCCCCCTCACTCTTCACTTCTGCAGACTAAACAGACCCAAGTCCCTCAGCCTCTCCTCATAAGTCATATGCTCCAGCCCCCTAATCATGTTGGTTGCCCTCCGCTGGACCCTCTCCAATGCTTCCGCATCCTTTTTGTAGTGGGGGGCCCAGAACTGCACACAATACTCCAGATGCGGCCTCACCAAAGCCGAATAAAGGGGAATGATGACATCTCTGGATCTGCTGGCAATGCTCCTCTTAATGCAACCTAATATGCCACTAACCTTCTTGGCTACAAGGGCACACTGTTGACTCATATCTAGCTTCTCATCCACTGTAACCCCCAGGTCCTTTCCTGCAGAACTACTACTTAACCGGTTGGTCCCCAGCTTGTAACTATGCTTGGGATTCTTCCGTCCCAAGTGCAGGACTCTACACTTGTCCTTGTTGAACCTCATCAGATTTCTTGTGGCCCAATCCTCCAATTTGTCTAAGTCATTCTGTACCCTATCTCTGCCCTTAAGCATATCTACCTCTCCCCCCAGCTTAGTGTCATCCGCAAACTTGCTGAGGGTGCAATCCATCCCCTCAGACAGATCATTAATAAAGATATTGAACAAAACCGGTCCTAGAACCGAACCTTGGGGCACTCCGCTAGAAACCG